AAAAATAAAAATAAAAATAAAGATGTTTTCATGGTGGTTAGAAAAAAAGAAGGAAGAGGAGTGAGGAAATTCTCAAATGTTAAACAAGACAGATCCTGGTTTATAGTGAAGTCAAGTTGCAAAGAAGCAAAGAAACACTCACACTGGTGTGGTTCTGCTGTACCACACATCATATTTTATTATATAAAATATATTGCAGCACACACACACACACACCTTTCTCATTTTACGCATGCGCAACGCGCCATTGTAGGAACTAGAGAGAAGTGGGTCGGGGCTTGACACGAAATCTGAGGTTTGACTCTGATCTGATCTGAGCTCTCGTTTTGAGGATGTGAGGTTACAGCTTGAGGACAGGGACTGTTTTTTTGTCTTTTGTAAACAGTTGATGAGGACAATCCAGGAGGCGTACAGGACCTGCACAGCCCCCCCGCTGGCCCCGTCGGCCCGGTAACTCGGTAACTCGGTGCAGAGGCAGGGCTCTTCTGCTAGCTGCCACACAGGCTAACTCCAGGTAGCGTGTGTGTGTGTTTTTTTTAAATTAGTTTGCATTTTAAACTACCAACCAACGCTTTTCATAGTCGCATGCAATTAATGTGTTGCTAGCTATGAAACAAAGAAGTCTGCGCATTTTATTTTTGTGCGGAACTGACCGTGATAAACAAACACGCATGCTAACCTCATAGTAGCATGCTACGGGAGCTAGTGTGCTATCAACAATCAGCGGTGTTAGCTGATGTTGTCAGTTAGCACGGAGCTAACGAGGCGACGTCAAGTTTTTATGAATGAAAGCGGGTGTATCCGGTTCGGCTCTCCAAAATAAAACTCTAATCAAAGAAACGTCTGACACAGCAGTAGAAAGTACAATAAATAATAGTTTGTGGTTGGCAAATGTGTTTAACGAATGCATATGTTAAATATATACATGGTTAGATGTATCAGTGCTTAAAAAAACAACTTTAATAGACTAAAATGACCTTCAAAAGGTAGGAAATGTAGTCTTAAGTTATCTGATGCCACTTCTGGTGTTAGACTTTTTGACAGCCTGCATTAAATTGGTTTTATATCAGAATCAGAAATACTTTATTGATCCCCGGGGGGTAAATGTGTTTTGTTACAGTTGCTCAAGGTGCTCACCCGACGTTAAAGAAGAGAAAGAAATAGACCAGAATAGAAATAATATTTATATTACAATATCTAACACTATATAGAAATAGTAAATGTGTATATATAGGTATTTACATATAAGTAAAAGTAAAAAATAGAAATATAATAATAGTCTAAGTACCGGTATGTATTGGTTCTTTTGCATGCCTCCTGCTGATGTTATTATTATTATTAGTAGTACTTTGCATGCCTCCTTAAAATTTTAAATCTGTTTTATCCCAGTCTGTGGATACTGCGGGAACTGTGAATTTCCCCTTGGGGATGAATAAACTATCTATCTATCTATCTATCTATCTATCTATGTACCTTTTAATAATACAATATATGACAATATAGACAGAAGTAAATGTATGCCATGGTATGTGGCTAACAGAAATTAAATGAGTAGTAGTAATAGTATACTGTGTTTGTATACAACATGTAAGAAAAGCACATAATGTCACTTTTAATCTTAATAGTTAGATGTGTAAAATATTAGTCTGTCAGCAGTCGAGTTTCATATTTCTAAAACACGTTAAACATGTTTGTCGCTTCGGTTTTAAAAAGTTTGGCCTTTTATTTTGAAGACAATACGTGCTGACTTCCGGTTGGTTGTGTCCGCCTGCTGTAGCTTCCCCCGACTAACGGCAGCCAGAGTGGCGCCGCTAGCTCCAACAACAACGTAAACTTTATTTTTACCCCACAATAAACAGTTCCGGGTTTCTCTAAACTCAGTTGCAAATGTAAAAAATACCACACCGTCGTCCCATTCGGTCGTTCGTGAGCTAGCGTTATTATTATACAGTTAAAAACTTCGTGAACTGGAGCGTTATAGTTTCTGGTTCGTGCTTTCTGCCAGCCAGCGAGACCCTCAGAACAGAAACATTGTGTGTTTATCGGTTTTTACCGGGAAGTTAATCTGTCCTCTCAATCTGCTCAGCAGTACAACACAATAGTAACATGGCAGCGACAAGCTTCTGCTAAAGAAAACAACAACACAGAGGATATTTGTTACACGTTTAATTACCTTAATGTAATCTAACAGCCCTGCAACAAATGTCTATATCACTGCAATCTTTCATGTGGGTTATAATATATATATTTAACTTTATTGTAATTCCAGAGGTTGTAGTTTGTGGTGCTGTTGTTGAATTGTTTTGTTGCATTTTACTGAGAGTTGTTCCTAATATGTGTTTTCATAGAGCTGAATATTAGAAAGACCTCTCATTATAACTTTATCTACAGCCTCCAAAATGACCTTAAAAGTTAATAACGCCTCTCTGAAACTGTTCTGATAACTTGCATGTTAAACCCTCTCGTTTCCAGTCTCAGATCTGCCTCATCTGCAGCTGAATTGTGCTTCTTTTATTTTATTTTTTTAATCAAAGGTCATCTCTGATCGTCTCTGCTCCGGCTTCCTGATTATGTGAAACCGTGTCAACAACACACACACATTCCCCAGAAAGTGCAGTCGGAGACAGCAACGAAAAAAAAGCCAAGATGTCCATCACCAACACACCTACCAGCAACGACGCCTGCCTGAGCATTGTGCACAGCCTGATGTGTCACAGGCAGGGTGGCGAGAGCGAGACGTTTGCCAAGCGGGCCATCGAGAGCCTGGTGAAAAAGCTGAAGGAGAAAAAAGACGAGCTTGACTCCCTGATCACGGCGATCACCACCAACGGGGCCCATCCCAGCAAATGTGTGACCATTCAGAGGACACTTGATGGACGCCTGCAGGTACGACCACACGGTTTCCTGCATCATTAAATACACACGGCTGCATTAATATGAAGGTCGTTGTCTTCTCAATAGTGTAAATACATTTGTTCATGTTTGGGGATTTTTGTTCTAGTCTTTTTAGTGGTAAACTACCAAGTCATCAGAATCAATTGCATTTTAATTAGGTTACATTTAAAATAGAATAAATAGCCTCAGTACTTTTTTTTTTATCATTTAAAACAAAATCCATGATATTCGTTATTCAGAATAACATCTAGGTCTGCAACTAATGACAGTTTCTATATAGATTCATCTGCATTTGTTATTTTTGCCAGAAAATAGTGAATATATTCTAATATTATGATTTCTTCTGATTGCTTGGTATAATTAGAATAATAATCCCTTTTATTTTATAGTCCTTTTAAAAGGTACCCAAATGCACTTTATGTGGTAACACAAAGACAACATAATCAGCAAAGGCAATATCAGTATAAAACTATAAACAACTATAAATAGAAGAAGCAAAACAGCATAAAAAACAAGTTGAGCAATGAAAAAAAAGGGGGGGGGAGGTAGATGACAGACTAAAAGCAGAGTGGGGCGAATGTCTGAGAGGTGGGTGAGGGAGGGAGGGAAGATATTCAGTTTACTATCATATGCGGCCAAAAAAGCATAAAGTCCTAAACATTGGGCATTTTTTGTTTCAAAATGGCAGAAACGTTTAGTTATCACAATAGTTTTCCAGCAGTCGGCTCATTGTTTGAGCTCTAACAACATCCAAAATGTGAGATGAGAAACCTGCCAAAATAAACACGGCAAGCTGTGATTATAAAATATAATCATCATCATTATTTTAGAACAAAAAATAAATAAATAAGAAAGTGAGAAGATTCAGGAAATCTGATCCAAGTAGCGCTTGAGCCATTTTAAAAGCACTTTGACCGGCGTGTATTCGTGTAGTCGGCCATTCACCACAACAAAATACGCTGCATGCCAATAATTGACTTAACATTACGTTTGACCCCAGCTGTAAGGAGAATTAACTCGTGTTGTTGTTGTTGTTGTTGTTTCCAGGTGGCTGGACGTAAAGGGTTCCCTCATGTAATCTATGCCCGGCTGTGGCGGTGGCCTGACCTGCATAAGAATGAACTGAAGCACGTCAAATACTGCCAGTTTGCCTTCGACCTCAAGTGTGACAATGTGTGTGTCAACCCCTATCACTATGAGAGAGTGGTGTCTCCTGGCATAGGTGGGTAACAGGGAGGGGTTTTTCATGAGAGGTTCAGCAGAAGCCTTAAAAAATAAACAAGAATATAAGAAATGAAATGTTAAAGTTTCAGTTCTCTGTTTGTAATAGAGCACTGAAGTAAACCGTAACCAAAAGCTGACTTGAAAGGAGGAAATCAATGTAAATACTGCGGTTTCTTTTCTTTGCTCCACAGACTTATCAGGACTGACACTTACCAGTTCTGGACCCAGCTCAGGACTAATTGTTAAAGACGAGTACGATTTTGATGGGCCGCAGAGTCTGCCCTCCATCGAGGGAGGGCACTCCATCCAGACCATCCAGCACCCCCCATCTGGCAGCCGCCCGGCCCCCTCTGAATCATTTGCGACCCCAAACCTGCTCCCACCTGCTGAGGCCTCCACCTCTGCCTCAACGTCATCCTTCCCGGCCATTGCTGCTGGATCAGGCAGTAAGATACAGTTGTGAAATATTTCTACGTGTGTGCTTGTTTGTCTCTCTGTTTGTTCTTATGTCTCTGTGTCTGACAGTTTAAGACTTTTTCTGCTTCAGTTTTGTGAATTATCGCTCTGGGATTTGTGAGTTTTTGCCTCTTTATCGATTCATCTGTGGCTCTCTGACTTCTGTTCTCCTTTTCTCCTCAGGTGCCAGTTCGACCTGGACTAGGAACAACAGCTTCCCCCCCAACATACCCCACCACACCAACGGTCATCTACAGCACCACCCTCCTATGCCACATCCAACACACTATTGTGAGTACACACTGGGGCCACAGCTGTAAATGAATCCACAAACCAAATCACATACTTGTATTTCATTTTGTGCGAAGTGTGTGATCATTATTCTCCTGTTTCTGCCAGGGCCTGTGCATAATGAGCTCGCCTTTCAGCCTCCCATATCCAATCATCCAGGTGAGAACACACAGCCCACAAGTACATAAACCCTGAACAGAATTTGTTTTGGTGTATTAGAAAACTTGTGAAGAGATTTGATAGTCGTTGTTTACACATTTTTATCCACTCTTCAGTTGTTTCAGTACGGTTGGCTATCATTGATAGGCAGCGTTGTTAAATCAGATCAGCCGTGTTAATACGCTCAGTTTGGTTGCCTCTGTGTTAAGTTTGAATTGGCACAATGACAAATTCACCTTTATTTTATAGCATGTAGTTCAGAAACAGTCAGATAAAGTACTGTAGTTTTAGTACTTTAGTTTTAATGGTGAGATTATTCAGATTAAACAAATTGATTCAAAACATCATTGTTCATTTAACAGTTTTAGTCATTTATCAAATGAAAATATCAAACATTTAGTCATCACTGGTGCTCACTTTTTATAGAAATCAAACAATCCCAAAACAACTGTAAATATAACGTAAAACCTGCTCTTATCACATCAATGGGCCACATATCCTTGCATATATATCTTGCTATCTTATCAGTGATGGGCTTTTTATGAGCTTCTGGCGAGGGGCCGGCTGAAGCGGATTGTGCCTGATAGAACCAGTCAAACGAGGTTGCACACTTGCCGTTGCTCCACACGTCTGTCGTGCGTCCGCTCCGCTGCCTCACTCGGGTGGCGAGCTAGCGTTAGCAAGTGAGTTCGCCGACTGGGTGTCGTTGTAGAATTTGACAGCTGCAAAGTCGACAGAAGCACACGGCTTCTCAGATGCTCTCTGTCGCGAATGTCCACTTTATTCCAATGTTCTTCTTAGTAAACGACACACCGTTACTGGATCACAAGAAAAACGACTTTAAACTGTCTGTCGTTATTTCCATTCATGACTTAAAACCACTAACATCAGGTTCTTCCCTCTGTTTCAGCTCCTGACTACTGGTGCTCCATTGCCTATTTCGAGATGGACGTTCAAGTTGGGGAGACATTTAAGGTGCCGTCTTCTTGCCCCATAGTGACAGTGGACGGCTATGTCGACCCCTCAGGAGGGGACAGGTTCTGTTTGGGCCAGCTCAGCAACGTACATCGCACTGAGGCTATTGAGAGAGCAAGGTAGCTGACCGGTTACCTTCAATATTTAGAGCTAAACAATTAAAACCCTACAGCTGCTGTAGTTTGTGAAATAAAATGGCATTTTAAAGCAGGGAAAGAATCATAGAGCAGATCTTGTTTTACAGAAACAGGCTCTATAATAACAACACATTAAATCTTTGTCATTGGTTGTATCTCTGTATCTCTAGATGTGTGTTTATGCAGGTATAAATATCCCAAAATATTAAGAGAGAATGCATTTTCACATTATAGAGCATGTATGGCTGTTTGGTAGCATATTTTGCTGGATGAGTGTGTTTACGATGACAACTCACATGGATCGGTCTTCTTTGCTCTCTCCCAGGCTTCACATTGGAAAAGGAGTTCAACTGGAATGTAAGGGCGAGGGAGATGTGTGGGTGCGATGCCTCAGTGACCACGCAGTGTTTGTTCAGAGTTACTACCTGGACAGAGAGGCAGGCCGAGCCCCTGGAGACGCTGTTCACAAAATCTACCCCAGCGCTTACATCAAGGTAGGGACATGGCTCATTGGACTGTAAAAGGAAAAAAAAAAAGAGGACATCACTTAAGGTTGACATTTCATAAAGTGTTCTTTCGCCTCTTGGGGAAGCGACTGAGTGCATGCTGCAAACACCCCTTTCCATGCAATCCCCTCAGGCAGTGTGCTCCTCATTGACATTGGTTTAAACAGGAAACGTTCCCCATACTCCCACATCTTTTCCAATCACATGATCATTAGGAGTAATCGTACATCTTCACACAGTGCAGCTCTTACCGAGGTTCTCCCTGATTAGCTGCCTGTGGTGGTGACATTTCTCCTTCGGAGGGGGGGGATAATTGCTGTTGCATGTACAGTATTTACAGTCTCTTCTCTCCTGCCAGGTGTTTGACCTTCGTCAGTGCCACAGACAGATGCAACAGCAGGCTGCCACGGCTCAAGCAGCAGCTGCAGCCCAAGCAGCCGCAGTGGCTGGAAATATACCTGGACCTGGATCAGTAGGAGGGATAGCTCCAGCTATTAGTAAGATACTGTAACTGCAAATACAGACTCACAGTCGCACAGGGGGGCAGTGGGAGGTAGAGGCAGCTGGCAGTGGTTCCAGCTGTCAGTAAGGCTTATAATGCAAGTTGGATGTAAATTTTACTGCCAGTGAGAGAGAGCCATGTACTTACAGAGAATTGCTCGGACAGATGTTCAACTCAGTTTTCATCCAAATGAAGTTAAATCCACATGCTCTTAATATTTGATACGACAGCAGTACAGAATTATATTTATTCCTACTGGATGATACATATATGCTGGCTTCACTGTTCCAAAACTGAAGCTGAATGTTTTTACATAGTGTGTGCCTCTAAGTTGTGACTTTAACATAAACTATATGCAAGTATTTCCATTATCGATTGATCTGCCCATAATTTTATTGATTAATAATCCAGTATTTTAAAATATCAGAAAATAGTGTAAAGAATGTCCGTCAACTTTTTTTTGTGCCCAATTTGACATATTAAGATTACTTGTTTTGTCAGACCAACAAGTCCAAACCCAAAGATATTCAGTTTATTGTCCTCACAGTCTATGAAAACAAGCATATATGTACATTTGAGAAGTTACAACCAGAGAATTCTTCATTCAAATAATCAACCAATTGTATAAGCTCTAGTTATTCAAATGAAATCTAAATAAATTAGATATTTCAGTTTGGATTAATAGTATTTATTTGATTTTCCTTCAAGTTTGAATGAAAAGCACATCTTGTATTGGGTTTATCACACATTCGCAACATCACACTGAACTGATTGCGACTCCCTCTCCTCCCGTCCTCTCAGGTCTGTCAGCAGCAGCCGGTATTGGGGTAGACGACCTCCGAAGGCTGTGTATTCTCAGGATGAGTTTTGTCAAGGGCTGGGGGCCCGACTACCCCCGCCAGAGCATCAAGGAGACCCCCTGCTGGATCGAGATCCACCTGCACAGAGCTCTACAGTTACTGGATGAGGTTCTGCACACTATGCCTATTGCAGACCCACAACCTCTGGACTGAGACCTTCACAGCTGCAGCAGCACACTGCAACAACAGTGGCAATGGAAAGTCTTCCTCAGTGAACTGTTCTGCATGGAGAAGCCAGTGAAACAGCTGTGACACTGAAGCTGTCCCACATGAAAAAAAAAAAAAAAAAAACTTTCAGGTTTGTTTGAGGCACCGTTGTGCACTGTGGCCCCTACTTTTACTTTTTAAGCAAGAGTGACACTAAAACGAGCCAAAGCCATATATTAAAGATATATGTATCTATATTTTTGATAGATGGCTTTGATTTGTGATGACTGGAATGATGACTATAAAAATACGTCGCATATAACTACAGTTATAAAGCATCACAACATGCACATAGATGACCTGCAGATCCCGCGAAACTGGAATGTACACCGACTACTCAGCGCCCCCGGAGTCCAGAACCACCAACTACTGACAGACATTAGATTCACTGAACAATAAAAGGACATCCGAGTGCCGTACAGCCGAGGGATGAGACGCCGTACACAGAGGCTCTCGTATCCAGCGTCTGGGCACCAGAGTACTGCTGCCAGTTTCCATTCAAGCCGTTAGCTTTACATCTGGGATGACAAGCAAGTTCAGTGCGCCGTCATGACTGGATAGAAAAGCAGCAGCACATACATAAATGCTGATCGCCGCCTCTCGGTCACTGGTCAGGGTTGGGGAGCACCCAGCTGGATCCGGTCATACTGGGGCATTCACAGCCAATCTTAAACAAGGTCAAGTCTAGGGACTCTTCTAGGTCAGGTGTTGTCAAACTACAGGTTTGGACCTTTTTTGTAAACTGGCAGTGGGCCTGACAAATCTGTTTTCTCCCCTTCTCAATTTACTAAGATTTGGGACTAAAGTTAGAGTTGAGGTTTTTGGACACAGACAATAATGTCCTCCTCTATGTGTCACAGCTACACTATGGTAGTTTTTTTTTCATGACACACAAAGTTTAATTAATTACCCATTGATGATACTGTCTGTTTTCACTCATATAACCACAAATGATGACAAGATTCTCATTTAAGTGATCATTGGTCCCCTGGTGTATGGTTACTGCCCTCTTTCATGCTGCCATGAAGGATTAATCTCATGCGCCTCCTGTGAACTGTTGGCGTTTCTCACTTTCACACGGAGAGCAAAACAGAAAAAACGCTGCAATGCTTTTGGTTCAGTAAGAGCCTCACAGTTGATCACAGTACAAGGAGCGGGGTTTATCAATGTTTTGGCCAACCAAAGTATTCATTGCTTACAAACCTACTGTGAGCGTAGCGTGATCATAAGAGCGAAGACGTCCAGTCAGCTGCTGAACTTTGCCCCAGTTTCGTTAATTTGGAGGTTTCTTTGATTTGAATTTTAAAGCTTAATTATGTCTACTTGTATTCATTTCAATTCTATCTCTTTTTTTTTATCTCCAAACATACGCGGCAGTATCTCCACACTCGATGAGAATCATTGTATTTAAATATCTTATGACTTGCAGCCCACACATATACTACTCGATCCAGGTCTCTTGTATGTAGTTTACTGACAAAGATGAGAGAGTTTGAGATGGTTTGCCAGCAATATTCATATATTTTCTTGGTTTTATTTTGTTACTTTTATTAATTGATTTGTATTATATTTTTAGCACTTTACTTTTTTTTCTTGTTTTTAATTCAGTAACCCTTATTTTGAGGTGGTTGTCGTGCGATATGAACAAGGGAGTGAATATGTTGGTTTATATTTTACATAAGATTGTGAGCAGACGCAAAATTGTGATGCATTTGTATTAAAAACATATGTAACACTAAGACACCTTTTTATTTTTTTAAATCTGCTTTTGCCCTTTCACTCATATCCATTTACACACACATCTGTAGGGTTTCTTTTGGCTGTTCTGAGTTGCAGTCTTTCTTTTTTTGATTGCAGTTTTTTTTTTTTTTCTCCTTTTTAATCCATGTAAATAACTTTGTTTTTGAAGTGCATGTCAATGTTTGCATGAATTTTAATGGCAAATAGACCCATTTATCTCTACGCCCTTTTTGAAATAGAGAACTCGCCCTGCACCACACAGGGAAACCGGACTATCGGAGGAGAGTAGGAAAAAAAAGCACTTGCTATATAGGTGTGTTGTCTGTGTTTGGTTTACGAGAACAGCATTAAATGTGCACCGAGGGAAGCTACACATTCATAACTGATGTAAATGATCAAATCTGATTGTATAAACTCATCATTTTAGCAGCCAAGCCCCTAAAAAGAAAAAATGTGTTTATATAAATACAGTAACGAGTCAGTAATTAGTGTGGAGCCTCCCTTGAAAGTAAAATGAGTACAAGCATATTTTCTCTCTCGCAGACAAAGTTATTTTGACACAGAAATAATTTGATTTCGGTCTCCTCCTCAGCCCCTGCGCTGCATGTGAGACATTTTGTTTTTAAAGGCATTTGTAATAGATTACATATATTGATTAGAGTTTTTTTTTATTTTTTATTTACCCACAAACATCTGCCCATGCTTGTTGTTTTTCACACCAAACTGCCATACAGTATATTCTTTCTGGTCATCCGTTAACATGACATTCATTTGGTTTTATGTCCATAAACAAGTGTGTGATTCTTTTTTTTTATTTTTATTTTTTAAACAATGCTGTCTTGGTGGGTTAGAGCTAAAATTGAATTTGTTCAAGGTTTTGTTGAAATTTCTGTCCCACCTTTTGATTATTACATCATTTGAATAGCATTGTTAAAAAAAAACAAGTTTATCCTACATCAGGGAGTCCAACTTTGGGATTTATTCTCATAATTATGCATCTGATTGATTAAATGGCAGGAAAACTTCTGATTTTTATTTTATGTTACTGAAAGAAGTGATGCTGAATTGTGTCTGGAGAAATAATCTTATTTTCTGTTGTGCTTTAAGGTGGACAGATGTTTTTATAGTACTTGCAGTTATTATAGGAGCCTAAAGACAACAGCTCAAATGAGTTGATGTTGACTACTATGACAGATTGCAGATATAAATTTTACCTGTATTTCTTATGTGAGAGTCTGTAATTAAACATGGAGTGGTATTCTCTAAGTGGTGACCTGTTTGTTTTTCTCAACGAGGGGACGTGTTTACGAGGATAACTGTCTGTCTGCCCTTAAAAAGGTATATAGGAACATCCGAACATCCCCCAGTTTTACTTATATCACAGTGGATTAAAAAGAAGAGTTAGGAATAAGCAACCTTCTGCCATTTGAGTGGCAGTTTACTCAAGTTAAAGCACACAAATGGGAACACTTTACTCACTGAAAAGCTAACACAATAATGCTCATGGTAAACCTTTACAAGTGATTTTGACCGTTTTCACATTCCCTCTCCTGTTACACCTTTATCATATCCCTTTTCTTTTTGTCACAGTAGGTGGAAGTAATATTGATGATGGCTGAATTAGCTGCTGCAGTTTCGGGGGTCCTGGTGTTGGGCATGCCATCATTAGTGACACCTGTGCTTTTACCACCGTGATAAATCCAAATGGCTACGGAGATTCCAGCATAGCGCCACCCTCCTACAACCTGAGCAGAAGTCTAATGAACCACAACTGAAAACACCTGTGGGTTTGTGCAGATTATGGTTATGGTATTATGTATCACTCAGCTCCAACTATACGATTAGGCCCCAGTTGGTCCAACTGACTGTGGCATATATCAAACATGTTTTATGGATCACACCGGCTTCAGCTGGTCTGAGGCGCCATCAAGAGGTGAAATTATTTAAATCCTATTCCCATACACTGCAAGTTGATGTGTACATACTTTATTCAGTCTTCATTAAGAGTTATCGAAGACAAATTGGTGTTTCAAGTCTTGTTTTTTCCTGTCTTCGTGCTGCAAGGTTCAGAGATTCAAACCCTCATAGACCTTTTTCACAACCTTCGAACAGGCTTCTGTAGCTCTCCCTGTGACGTGTACAGCAGTGCTGTTGTCAAGACCACCTTCGTCAATTCCAAGACCATCTGGAACATTTGGCGAGGCCGATGGCCAAGTCCGAGTGCAAATACCAACGAGTCTAAGTCTGAGACACTAGAAAAACACTCCTGAGACTGGACTCTAGTACTGCAGCCCTATAAGGGGACATGGGCCCAAAGAATCTGTTTTACACCAGAAACATATCCAACGGGAACAAGAAAGTTTCCCCCTTTTTTTGCCCGTGTCCCATTAGGAGCTCCCTTCAAGTGTAAACATTAGAGAGGCAATAATGTGAAGCATCACTACATGGTGAGTACTGCAACTTGTATAATTGTTTCCAACTGCAAATTTGGACCCAATAAACGGTACTTTTTGGCCAAAGGGACTTTTTCCATGTGGTAGGAATTATGACCAAAGAACCACAATCAGAACCAGAAGCCCGGAGTTCAAACATTTAATATTTGTGCTTACACTCATCTTGCATGTTCTGGAAGATGTGTTTCAGGATGCCTCTCTCATTATTGACATGTTTCACTAATAAAAACATCACCATTACCAACACGAGCATCTGAGATCCCTGTCAGACATGCATGTTTAAATAAACACAAATTTACAAAATGAAGGAATCACAAGTCAGACGTGGCTTTAAATGAAACCGTCTTTATTAAGTAACTTTAATATCAGAAAAATAAAACTCTTAAATTCTCTTTACAGCAAATATATAATATCAGTGCTTTGGCCGCAATAACTTAAAAGGCCGTTATAAAATATAGTCTGCTTTTAAACTCCTGACTCAATTTGAAGAATTTATATGCCATAAGACTCCCCCTACATATACAAAACAAAAGTGTAGTAAAATTAGCAAATACTTTGAACTGTTGGTACAGCTTAACAATATATGTATTTATATATAGATAATCTAAGATACATTTTACAGTATACCGTTCTTAATTTGGTGGCGTACAGACATGACAGGCAGCTTGAATCCTTGGCCTTTATACAGTTGCAGTGTGACGTTTTACATTGGCGGTACATTATGAAGACATGCTTGTGATGCACATTCCATTTTCCACTAGGTTAACGGCAGCTATCAATACTATTATCATCAATACTGTAAACTAATAACTAGACTACAAGCAGATAGCATTGACACCCTCCTGCAACATTTCTGGGTTTCCAACTCTTCATTCACTTAAATCACTCGGAGAAAAAGTAAAAAACAAAATTTAAAAATCTTATTGTAAACATTTTAATATAGATATATTTATGTATATATATGAAATGTAACAAAATAAAAATAATTCTGTATATTCATCAGTCATTAACAGTAATATTATATGATACATACACAAAAATGTCATTAGATTCATGTCAATAAACTGAGGGCCGACACTGTATTGCATTCCCTCAGAGGAAGAGAGCAAAGCGAGATCGACCCTTCGTAGATCTGAGAGACGTAAAATAAGAAGGACGGAGAGAAGACCAGAGGGGGGCAGAAGCACTTTTTTTGCACTTTTGGGACTCGTTGGTTCCATTTCCTCAAGAAAGCTCACTCATCCATGAAAGAGGCGATATTAGGGAAACGGAGCTAAGCGATGGAATAACACCCAAATACTGTTTCCAGCTGGAATGCTAAGACGAACTGCAGTCCAGTGTCCACACAGTAAAGCAACAGTATTGACCTTATGTAGTGTCTGCACAGTCCAAGATGAAATCATTCCAGCTGCTTCCCCTTTTTTTTGAAATGTCCGTCAACTCATTCAGTCCTGTAAAACAAAGTCTGGAGACACTGGTGTTTAAAGCTAAGATTTGAGATGATTTTCACCAATTTGTACCTTGTCTTACTTTTCAGGCGGAGGAACGGACAGATGCACACGTTAAATGGGGATAAAAAAATAAATTAAAAAAAGGTCAGAATGTTGTTTGGAGTCCAGTCTGGTCAATAGTGTGATATGTGTGTGTGTGTGGGGGGGTGTGCTTAGTAGAGCACAGGATAAAAAGGAAATGAGCTGATGAAACATGAAAATCAAGTGTACCATTGAAACATCTCATCGATGCAGGTAACGAAGGCTGAGCCCCGACTGAAATGTAGTAGAAAAAGCAGACGTGATATGTCTGTCTATGAGTCAAAGCTCAAGACTGAGCTCTGTAATTAAAACCCGAGGAGTTTAATTTATCTAGTGCGTCCTCGATAGTTAACATACTGAGACGAGTTTTGCATAGGCCTGGTAAATGACGTGGGATTAAATAAACACGGAGTAAAGCCATGGGTGGCCTTCGTCTCAATTTTGCATCCCAATGGAATTATTTAGCTGACTGCTTACCAACGAGGACACAAAATGGCTGCGACGATACGGCCACAGGGTGGAGCAGTTCAGGTGAAAGAAAAGGGTGCTATTGAGATGTCTGGAAAAAAATCAGCAGGTCGTCTGTACAGTACGGGCATTCGTTCCAGATTACAGCTGTTTTCATAGTAGAGTTTCATAGAATATCAGCTCTTTTCGCTCCCAGGTGAGGTTTAACTATTATGTAGCCATACTACTAACATCTACTAAAGTGTCTGCAATAAAGGAGAGGAGGAATGTTTACCAAAGGTACGAGCTGTGCACATCGTTCTAGCTGAAAACCAGCACATGGTTTCCCAAACAAAGATGTAAATCAACATATAAACAAAAAAAAAGGCAGGGGGGGAAAAAAGCAGGAAGAAATATGAAAACAGAAATGAATTAAATGGGAGTGTTTGTTGCTAAAAAGATAAAGCAATAGGCGGTAAATAGGAAGCAAAAGAAAACATCCCTGTGATATAACCTTTGTTCCACCGAGATTCATTTAGGAGATTGAACTTCAAGAAATACATTAAGACTTCAGTCTGTCAGCTTGTGTTCTTTTGAGCCAAAATCTGGATTTGTAGATAGTGTTGTCAGTTAATTACAGGCTTTCCAAAAAAGGCCACAAGTTTGTTTTAAGACAGAGCAACACTGTGTCCGCTGAACCAGTTGTTTCTTTTTGTTTACTCAGAACAGAATTAGGCACGAGTTAACAGTAAACAGTTTTTTTTTTTTTTTTAAGTAGAAATGGAAAGCAACGTGGCGATACTGAAGTGGTGTAACGTCCTGGTACAAAAAGGAGTTGCCCACTTGTTGGTTCTAAGCTGGGAAGAAAGAGACCCGAGGCAACAAGAGGTTTGCCATTGGAGTGTGACATCTTTTGACCAACGTAGTTTAAAAAACCCCTATGTGGGTGTTTTTGTATGGGTATCAATGTGTTATTAATATCTGCAATGCTCAAAAATTCGAATTTAGGATCTGGCTCATGTAAAAATCATATG